TGGACAGAAGTGTATCAGCTTTGTTTTTTTCAATTTCATAAGGAAATGCTTGAATGTCCAGCATTGCATCAGGTTCTATATTAGCACTATGTAATCGTTTTCCTGCTTCATACACACAATCGATAAAAACTAAGCTACTTGGGAACAGGAAAACCCCTTTCGAATTGCAGTCTGAAGTGTCTATTCTATTGTTCCTGCATCACCTTTACAGAGAAATGTTTGAAAACTGAAGTTTGAACACAATTTCTTAAGCAATTTCAACTATTTTATTTCTTGAAGAAGTGTTTTTGTGTTTCTGTTTAAATATAAGCTTTAAGATTGTTAAGCAGGATCATGCATTTTTCTTCTAAATTTGTTAAACTGTATCTTTTCTATTTCTGCTGAGCAAAAAATACTTAAGTATCTATTCTGAAAGGCAGAGATGAAAGTGTAAATTCTGCAGTGTTTAGCAGTCCATTTGAGGATCAGGTCAGTTTTTTCACCTTGCTTTTAGCAAGAGCAATGGCAAAACTGACTACTCTCAAAGAACACAAAGTAAAATCTAATTTATTCCTACAAATTATTTCTGGTTATACTAATCTCGTGTAATTATTTACATCTAGAGCAGGGCCAAACTCTGAAACAGATGCCTGAAGATTTTTTTAAACCATTTATATATACTAGGAAATTCTAATGAATTTTGTATGAAACCAGATGTTTGTGGATAAATAAACCTTTTTGTTTGTTTACAATATATTTCACCAAAAAGATCTGTTTAATCTGTTCTTAAAACATTGAGCCTGAAAAATGGAGAGGCTGGGACAAAAGGATTTGGTGGGCCTTTTGTCTGAAATGCATCTAGGTTTGCTTTCTGTTCAGGGGGCTGCTTAGCATTTAGGAGAAGGAAAGCTATTTTTAGTTCAGGTATGAAAATGTGCGTTACTTTATATCAATTATTTGGCTGATTGCTGAAAGTGCGTTGGAGTGAGGGGGCATTGGCTAGTTCTGGCCTTCGCTAATGGGAACATTTCAGAATGTGGATGAGTAATTAAAGTATAGAATGCGGAAAATTAGGCCAAAATTGAATAGAAGTGAATAAGTATGCGTTCTGTTGTGCAGATGTTGGAAACGGATTATTTTGGATACCTCTTTCTATCTACATCTTATTTGGTTACCATGTAAAAATCAGTCATACACCATGTAGATTGTTTCTCTTCCCATTGCCTTTTCTGTTTTTATGTTGTGATGTATCTGTATAGGTAGTAATTCAGCAAAATATCCTGTCTGCCAGGTGTGGGAACTAGCTGATTGTATTGTAATACCAGATCATTACTTAATTCATATGCAACCTAGCCTAGCACATGGAAAGCATTATAAATCTATTTACAGTGTGGCTGGTCTGATGATAACATTGTATTAAATTCCCAGGTGAGGCAATTTAAGCAATTGCTTTGCCATGTGTAGGCCATGGAAATTAACTTCTCATATGCTTTAGTAATAGACGAACTTCATTGTTATGCTCAGATTAGTAGTATAGCAGAATTCTTACAGTCTGGTTACATGTACCCTACTTCACATGTAGAATCATACAGGGGGGTGGTACTGCAGATCACAGATCTTAATTAGTTTAAGCTGAGTTAATTCATTTCAATTCTAATTTAGCTGTGCTTGCCCATGAACACATTCAGTTCTATTGGGAAATGTTAAAGCTTGGGTCAAGTAGACAGATTGTTTAAAGCCAAATTGCCAGACAGAACTGAGCAAGTGTATCTGTTTGAACAGGGCTTTAAGAAAATCACCCAATCAGTATGCAAAAATCCTGTTCATAAACCAAGAGAGATCTGCCTGGAATCAGAAATTCTTCCTTGTCAGAAGGTCTGGGTACTGTAGTACATTTCAAACAACCCCTGAAACTTTCTCTGTCTTGAAGTTCTTGTAGGAAGTAGCTTAACCCTTTTGTGTCGTCGTGTGTTCATGTGCATGCTACATTTGAATGCAAACATGTACACTGAGTTAAAAACACTTGAGTGCATAGATTTTTTTGTCTATGTACATACAAGAAAATACAAGGAAAACTTTCATATATGACAGACCTTTACAGACAAAAAACTGCACACAGAACCTCTTAAGCCTATGTTCAGCTGCCCAGAAATGCCTTGGATTACAAACTCTGTAAAGCTTCTGTCTTTTCTAGAAACATACATATAAAGTACCAGTAGACAGTGGTAACTGACAACTAAGACTAAAAATGTTGACAATTTCTTGATTTGCCTGGTTAGCTTATGTATAGAAGTCATTAACTATTTATAAAATGCATTATGAATTGGGTTCCTTCAAACTGTAGCAGAGTGTGTGACATTTCCAGCTCAAACTATCATTCTTGGATTTGGCTAAAGTACATAACTATAAACAGCTGATAGTTAGGAACTTAAAAAAAAAGTAAAAATTGTTTAATTATTGAGTTCGGATGAACTGAACTAATTTTGATAGCCACATCTAAAAGTGTTAGCCAGTATTACTTTAATAAAAATAAGAATAGTAATTCAGGATATTGATATTTTGGACAAATCCTGAAAGAACAAACGAACACTTTAGTTCAAAGGCCTTGCCTTTTATATTATTGATTCATTTGGTAATGAAACTGTGATCAAAAGTAGTATCAAATTATTTATTGATTATGGCAAAGAGTTATAACTAATTGTAGTCAAAGGGTTATTTCTTTTAATATAATTGCTGATTTTCAGATAGTGACAGATTATTGCAGTAAAAGAACAATGATACAAATATATTTCTGAAGTTCCGTGGTGATGATATAAAGGATTATAAAGGGCCTCTAAAAGTTGTATTGCTGTTAACATTTATTTCTTTCCCATGAAGAATATTATTTTTCCTTTCTACAATGCAGGCTCTTATGAATGAGAATATCAGCCAGTTAAATCTTTCAAATAAATGATGTGTAACCAAGGACCATCTCAGTCTCTACATATAATTAGGCAACTTGTTCACTGAAGAACAAGCTTATGAAGCATCATGCTCCTCATCTCAGTCTAATAATGATAAATACATTCAACACTAACAGAATCAATGGGGCTGAGTCATTTTGTGAAATTGGGAGAGACTGTACAGTTGAACTACTAGACCTCAAATGGGAAGATTGAATCTTAATCAGAAAAGAAGATTAGCTATTTATTGGTATATATTTGTAATTTCCTTCCTTGTTTGAAGTGTATCAAATAAAAATAGGAAAATAATATAATTGAGCAATCTATGCCAATTTGTTGGCTTTTGGTGAAAAAAGAGAAAAACAAAACCTATCTCCATATGATATTCTTGCATACTGTGGAGTGTTTTAGTCCCCCATAGTGATGAAATGAATAATTTAAACAGGCAGCTCTGATACCACAGCCTGTTTAAAGGTTCTCATTTCCTTTAATGCTGTAGACTACTTTAGCTTGGTTAGTGTGAAACTATGACAGCTGAGATCTCCAAAAGATTTGGCACAATTCAGCTCTTGTAATAGGTCCATGGTATGCTTTGTCCTTGCTACGTACATCTGTAGCTTTAGTATGTAATCTAGATCTGAACATGAGCAACTGAATCACAAATTGGTAAGCATTGTAACGATGATGATCATAGAATCATAGAATGCTTTGGGTTGGTAGTGATGGTAATAAAGGGTGAACTACACAGGATAAAAAGCTAAAATGTGTTGCTCTGAGATGACCAATACAAGGCTTACTCCACTGCTAGGTTCCTAGCATAAGGGATGACCCACTTCCAAACTTCGTCACAAAGGTAATGAATTTCCCAGTGCTCAGTATAATTTCTAGTGGGTTCTTTCCTGTGCCCCAGTCCCAAGCATGTTTTTGCATAATTGTCCAATTAGTGAAGGTTGGAGGAGGGATTTGTTTTTGCTGGGTTCCTACTGGTAGTGACTACCACAGCAGAGTGTGAGGGAAGCTCTGATCAATAAAAGGAGGCCCTACAGCTTAGTTCTTGCTACTCTTGGGTATCTTCCTCTGATGAAGTGTAAAACTAATCGTAACTGCACTGAAATATAAAAAGATTTTAGACAATATGTTAAAAATCCTTTCTCTCTTTTAATGGTGAATGTAGGAATATTAACCAGCTAAATGCCTGTTATTTGGCCAAGAAAGAAATTGAAAGCTGGGCTCATGTTCTCTTTATGGACTTCCCTGTTGTTCCATTGAATGTTGTGCTACCTTGGTAATCTTCAGACAGTTGCTTTCCATTGCTCAGCACTTGATCTAGTTTAGAATCAATACGATGATCAGTTCATGAGCAAATCTGGTGCTCATAAGCTGTGAGTAATGACTGTCATAACAGTCTAATGAACGACTGTCTCGGTTTTGTGGTGTTTCCATGAACTGCTGTAAACCAGTGTTTCCTTGTACTGCTGTTTTCTCTGCTTTCTTTTGCCCTTTGATTTCTGGTCCTTTCCCTGTAGGCCTTCATAGCCTTAGCAGCATAGGAAACACTTGTTAATCTTCTACATCTTTAAGTTCAGCCAGTTTTGTCAAATGTGTGTTGTTCAGGTTTTGGGGTTTTTTTATATGGGAAAAGCTCAGTCTTCCTTTCTTATTTAATGGCATCACTGCAGTGTTACTCTGGGTTCTGTGTCCAGCTAGCAGATGTTCTTCAGAAAAATACATTTGGTTCCTACAAATGCATTTCTTTAATGCTTCTGATATTAGTGTATATTGCTTGTCAAGGTTACCTGATTATCAGAACTGGGATCACACATTATGTACCTTGAGCTTCACTGAAGCTGCTTTCATTGCTGAAAAGTTGAGGATGTGACTGTCTTAGAAATGCTAAGGTTTTGCCATGCAGATTTGTCAAAATACAGCAGTTGAACTTTTTGGTAACTTTTACTTGCAGATTTTTTTTTTTATCTAATAGGTATCCATTAGGGGGCTCTCGAGGTTTAAGATGATCAGCCTTGATACCAATGGCTTCGGAGCTTTACTTCCTAACCCTTTTTTCTTTTTGTTTTACAGAAAAGGTCACGGATCGCCTACAGTGATGAGGTGCGGAATGAGCTCCTAGGGGATGACGGGAATTCCTCAGAGAACCAGGTAGGATGCTAATCAAGAAGCCCTAGTGGGTGGCTGGAGGGTGAAGGAGGTCACAGGCACACTGGGCTTCTCAAGCTGCTCCTTAACAGCATTAGCAACAACTCATGTGGAAGTGATACTGTTTAATGCAAAGCTGGGGTCTTAATCAACTTCAAAATGTTTCTTGGAGATCTTACATTTAACCCTTTAACTTGTGATCACTGTCTGCTATCTTAAAAAAAAATCTTTTCTTCTCTTTTCTTTATTATTTAGTACTTAAGAAATAACTTGAAACGCACTGTTTGCCGACAAAGCCAAGGTCTTCACCTCAAACACATGTAAAAGGAATAAAAAAAGTACATAATGCAGCTTTGATAATAATGCAGTATAATTAAATCAACACTGGCAGGCAAAACAAATGAAAGTGCGCTCTCAGAATTAGGCAGTACCCCACTCAGTTTCCTTGTGTGATTCCTTCCCTAAACAGATTTTCTCTCCTTGTACCAAAAACACAAGTTGTACTAATAAAAGCATGCTTTCATAATACATGTTGTACTAGAACGCAGATTGCTATCCATCTCTTGTAATGAAGGAAAGCTTGATAATCCTGAGGCTTTTTTTTTTTTAAATCTTGTACCCATATTGTTGTTCTGGACACTACAGTGAGGATCCTGCTAGACAACTGAAAATTATAAAGGCAACATTATATTCAGGGGACTTTGACCCACCTGTTAATATTTCTTTTGGTGCTGAGACTTGTTTGACAAGCTCTGTCTGAAAGCAGAATGTTTCTTTTCTTTTTGAAAATCTTGTCAGCTGTAACCAAAGTTGTGCATTTTGAGTTAGAAGTTAGTAGAAAGTTTTCTTAAATATCAGTTTTTCTCTTCTGACCAGATAGAATTTAAATTATTTTGGTAGTGAAAGTGGAACTTGTTTAAATGGTTACTTGATAAAAGCAATATTAAATAAGGAAACAGAACAGAACCATGTTCTGAAATTTTTAGTATCTTCTACCCTCAATATAAGCTCAGTTCCACTAAGGATTAGAAAAAAGAAAGACTTGGAGACTCATCCCAGTACAATGAATTTTAAAACACAGACCCCTTAAGCCTTAATCTTATACAGTATTTCATATGTGCTGTGTAAGTTTTAAACGCTGTAATAGACTTTAATACATACATTAATGAAATTATACAGAGGATACAATGTATCTGTAGACTCTGCAGTGTACAGCAGCTCTAATATCTATGTGAAGGGTTAAATTTAAAAGATATTAATCTTCATATTTATATATCACAGTAAGGGGAGATTCCAAAATTTGAATAAAATAACGAGGGGTTTTTATCCCTAAATAATGAGTTTATGGAAAGGATGATTTCAGGGAAAAGAGTTTCACAGTCTGCCTGTGAAAGTGTTAAGATTCTCATTTGATTTCTTTTAAAGTGCTGCTATTTTTACATTTCAAGAAAAAATTGTGTGAATTCAGACATAAAAGGGCAATTGTGATAAGAAGCTTTACTTATAACAGAATATCTTATGTGTAGGGATGAGATAAAATATTTTATTTTCACTTTTTAAGGAATGGTTAAACAACTGGGTCACGTGCACTTTTTGCGAGTTACGATCTTTTTTCTAAACTTGATGGAAGAAACATGGTCTGATCTCAAGGAACCAAATGATACTTTCAACCATTTGTCAACATGAGTTTTTTCTTCCAAATGACCACTTCTTAAATGGAAGAAAATTCTGGGAGGTAAAGGAGTTTATGTAGTAACCCAACTTGAAATTGTTACCCCCATACCTTTAAAAGTTCTGAATTTCTTTCTTTTCTTCCCTGAAAAATGCTATGAAATATCACCATAAAGGAGTCGACTAACTTCTTTTAAAAATGTGAATGCCAGTATTTTAAAAAATATTGTTTATTGTGTTGTTCCAATAATCAATATTATGGTCTTTTTCTTATGAGATATCATTATTTATATTTGTACTTATATGCATGCAGTTATTGGCACAAGCAGTTAGTGCAAGAACTTCAGTGTGATGTTGAGTTTATCAGGATGTGCAGCTATCCAAATCAAGTGTAAGGTTTGGATACTTACCATATAGTGAATATGTTATCTTGACGTATTTAGCTCAGTATCCCCAGGTCTAATACACTTTCACTCTCAGACATTATTATATCAATAGAAAGCTTGAACTAGATGATGAAAGGATGCTTAGGTATAACTTACAGACATATAAAATATTTGAAGATGTTTCAAATTCTTGCTTTAATTTTGTCTGATGGAAATAAACATAGGTAGATGGACTGACCCTCACCCTAATATTGTGGGATTTTCACTTATCAATCAGTTTGGGTTAGGTTGAATTAGTTTAACTGAAAGGTGCTGGGGGTTTTCTTCTCCAATTCAGTCATCAAACTTTGAAAGGTGAGAGGAGAGGAGGGATTCTTCTTCTGACAAAGTAGTTAAAAAAAGTTGCCAGCTAAGAATTGCTCCTGTACCAATCTGCAAATATTGGTAAAATCTGCCAATAGAAATGCTGAATAGCTGAATATCTGATTAGACTGGGATGTTATGCAAGGGGAACAAGATACGAGTTGTACATTTTACATATGGTCTTTGTCATGATAAACATTTGCAAAATGGTTTTGGTGGAAGACGATGACAAAAAGGAACTTGATGTATACCGGCTAGTACAACCATATTAAGTATCTAGCAATAAATGGGGCGCAATTTGGATCCTTTCTTTATTCCACTTCTATTTTTTGAGTTGAGTTTTGCAGGTACAGTTACAGCAAAACACAGCCAAGTTATAAGCTGTAATGAATAGGGTCATAGGTATGAATTTCCAGTTATTCTCCCAAGAACAAAGATTGAAGTACAAAGAACAGATTGAAGAGTTAGCAAATTATAATTGCTCTTTCGTCGTCGTCTATTTTCCCTAAATGTCTCCCATAAGTAGCTGTCATCATGTGTAGATGACAACAACTTAGAATACCACTGCCTTATAATGATTATACCAAGATTGAACTAATTTTACTGGATAAAGCATATAGAAACTTCTTGTAAGAAGTTATAAGAATCATACAATATTGCTATTCAAGGCTTTATTTTAAAATAAATGCATCTTTGTTTAATGAGATAAATAACGACATAACGCTTTTAATGCATTTAGGGTTTAGTATACATTAGTATAGCATTGCTTAGTATACATTAATTTTTTCTTAATTGGAATTGTGTGACTGTAGTCAGATGAGGCACATACAGAGGTTGAGAATCAGGAGACATCCCTTCTCCCATTAAAAAAAAATCCACCTCACAACCCCAGACCCAAAAACCTACTGTGTACATTGGGTTGTTATTTATTTTCCAGGAGTGGTCTTAAACAGGATCTGTTACTTTCAAGTCTTGTTTGTCATTCTGGCCACCAACTTTTATCAAATCCCTTGAAAGTTTTGAGCTTTTCAGTGCAATGATACACTACTTGAAGTTGTGGCTTCACTTTAATAATCATAGAACTGTTTAATGTGGCGATTGATATGTTTTTTACAAAGTATATGTTGGGTTAAATCAGAAATCCTTCTTGACTAAAATAGTGTCAGGTAGAGTATTATCAACTTCCTTGAAATATAATAGTATTCCTTTCTCTTGCGCAACTATGTTCATTAATAAGTTTAAATAAATTTGCATTAGGTTAAATTGTGTGTCCGTATACACATACACTGTATGTGTGATTTGTGGTGAACAAATATTTTGTGGCTACTTAATTTCTGACTACAAAGTTCTGGTAATATTAGATTTGGGCTTGCTGTGCATAAAGTGTGTCAAACTTCAGCTACAGACCAGGGGGTGAAGTTGGTCAATTTAATTCCCCAAGATCTAAAGAAGGTCGGTATCATTTCATATAGCCCTGGCAGAGCAGATCATTACCAGACACAAATCTGTTCGTTACATGCCGAGGGTTTATAGCAAAATAAATAGACTGTCATCATAAGTTCAGAAAATTGTGTGTTCGACCCACGATAATGTGTAAAGGGCGTTTAATAGAGTTCAGCATTTATTCGTTATCTATATGCGGACAGAGACGGCAGTAGCGTTATCAGCTTTTTAAAAAAAATTCGGTAGTTTTCTATGTCACGTGGTGTGCCTCACAGACACACACACATGCACGCACACACACACACAGAGGCACACATCCCATCTCGCTCCCTCGCTCTCTGCGGCGCAGTTTTGATTTTAGTCACAGCAGAAGGCTTAGCCACAAGAGATTCCACTGGTTCAAACCAGCGTAAACCAGATTTTTTTTTTTTAGCCTACAAAGGAACAGATTACCTCTTGTATCGAATTCTGTATTGAAAAAAAAAAAAAAATCTTTGTTTCAAAAATATGCTGATTATCATAACCTAAAATGGTGGCTGCACACGGCTTAATGCTGTTTACAGTTGAGCGGTGAGCATAACAAAAATGTCTCAAAATAGAAAAGTAAAGGTAACACATTTTCATCAAGAGCATTGTTAAATGGGGGAAAAATACATCTTTTGTTAATTTGAATGAATATCTTTCAGCCAATGTTAAAAAAAAAACCCAAACCCTCTCCCATTACTTAGCTTAGCTGCAAATCCCATGCAGAGCTTAAATTCAGCCATGCAGCACAAACAAGATAGAACATTTTTGTTTGGGACCTATTGAAAAAACAAATGTGCAGCATTTTAAAACTCTCATTGATTATAGCAGGGTGGCATGCCCAAACGGGCTCTGTTGCAGGCAAGTAGTTTTAAACTTTGGCCCTTTAAGTATCGTAGTCAACTGAAGAATGGTGGCCTCAGAAAGAAAAGATAGCTATGTGATCAGCGCCCAGATCCTCTCTTTCTAAAGGGCCTTAATGTTTGCCTTTTTGGGGAAAAAAAGGGGGGGAAGATCTGGAGAAAGAGACCAATTTATGATAGGCCAAGCACTTGAATTTAAGCGCGGGTTTGGCGGACAATGCAGTTTTCTTTATGCCAAATTCTAACAAAGTTCCTTTAGCTACGCACTGGAGAGCCGTTTCAGTTTAAGTCTGTGTGGTAGTAGCCCTCCTAATTACATCTAGTTAGAGCCTCCTTGTCCATTTTGGTAACGGGGCGCATGGAGGAGCCATACAAAACAAAAGAGAATAATGGCGGTTCTTTTGTTTTCTTCATGCTGGCGAGACTTTATTAGTAGTAAACATTCTCAGCTTACACACGTGTTAAAAATTAGTGTTATAAAACTGTAGGTGAAGTATCAGCATAGACTGAGATAATGATGTAGCTGTTGTAATTTCGAATTCAACTGGAATCGGTGAGAGAACTGTACTTTTTTATAAAGAGTCGCTCTTATGCAGACATTTGTTGTGAGTAATTATATGTTTTGTTCCAGTACAAATAATTTATCTGTCTCTCTAAGGGGAGAGCATAGTACAACATAGCTTGATAATCGGACTGGGGTTTTATTTAGTTTTATAGTAAACCTGCCAGAGCAATATTATTAATAGTGTTAGATTGTGTTGCTTTACAAGCACAAATTGATAAATATAAATGTATATACTGTGTAAGTATACGCACACACACACACAATGTGTGTATATATAAACACACTGTGTAGTGGTCGAGCATTAAGAACCTGGAATGGGTCTTTTCTGAGGGAAATATGTTTCATGTTCTTCCCTATTCCTTTGTCTATTTTTAATTATGCTATGCAATACATCATAATTCTGAGCCATTTAACTAAGCTGCTTCATTTTCTTTTAACTGGAAAAAACCCTCTATAGGAGGTTCAGTAATAAAATTAGATACTGTAGTTGCATTAGAACTCAGGTATATAAAAATTGAAATATGGGTTAGGTGCCATAAAGATGCAGTCATCTATTAATAAGTTAGATCTGCTAGTAAGATAAGAAATTGGTTGTCATAACTAAAATATACAGAAAACATTCTGAAAACTTGTATATACAAAACCACTTCGGCTGTACAGTCTTCGAAGAGAGGAATAGTAAACTTGTTTTTTTCTTTATAATATAGACTTCTATGAAGTCATTCCCCTTTATTTCATGATGGTGTCTTAGATGTGGTTTAAAAGAGAATTTCACACTATTCTCTTTGTTTAATGTGACAGTGTGAGAAAGTGATCTTTATTCGTTCAAAAAACTCTGCATGTAGTCTATGTTTAGGTTCTTTTAATGTGTTTGTCTGTGATTTTTAAATGCTAAACATGTAAACAGATAAATTGTCAATGTTAATTCTGTATCCTGTCACACAACTGATCTTTCTTTCCTGCCATTTCTTTCCTTTTTATCTTTTTTGTGCGTTCATGTTGCAGTTGATAAAATTACGTGAAGAGGTGAGTACTTCCTTGCTTTTTGTTGTCTAGCTTTCCCTTTAAAGCTGAGTTTCTAAATCTGAAGTAGATCTTTTTGTTCCTTGTTGCAGGGAAATCTACACCAAGCAAAAATATTGATTACATTGCTGTAAAATATTCACTGTTGTGCCTCTTTTTCCCTAATAATTGTATACTTACATAGGAATCTCTAGATCAAACCTTAGAAATTAACATTCTTTGATAGTGGAAATTTTTTTTAAGGCACTAGAAAAAGAAGGGTGAAAAACCCCCCTATTATTTGACCTCTGCTAGAATACCATGATCAAATCAGGTACAGTAATAATCATGTTTGCATCACAAAATCTTTGATAGGGTAAATACATTTATGCACTGGTATTGAAAGTGAAAGCATTGCTTTGGTAAAACCCTGTGCTGAAACACTGTAAAAATTGCACAGTATTTCACAACGTTTTCAGTTTGGTGTGAGATACTCAAGTAGCTTATGTGTTATATTGGATATTGTATACCCACTGAAAATACAGTACAGGTAGACCTACGCACACATATCAATATTTATTATTTATTTGTGAGTGCTGTAGATCTGTAGGCGTAACACTAGAGATCAGTATTCCAGAACACCTTTCTTCCAGTTATAAAATGACTCATAAATATTTAGAGAGAGAAGCCTGTTTTAATGGTCAGTTCCTCACATGTTTCAGTATATTTTCTGAAATTAATCTCTTCTATTACTTACTGCTGTAGCAAAGCAGGTATCTGAACTGCTTTTTTTTATTATTATTTCCCGATAGCTGCCAAAAAGAAGGTCTCAGTAAAGTCAAGATTACTTATAGGTCAGATTTCTGAAGGGTTTCATACAGTGAGTTTAAACCAGTGAAGTATTTGGATAAATATATTTAGAAGCACAAGTATTTTAACATCATATATTTGTCTGGTATCTTCTTTTTGAAACGTGTGCTCAGACATATCAGTAATGAATACTGAGCTCTGCAGGAAAGGATTTGTAAGTTTTAGAAATGGTGATGACAAAGAATTGTAAAGTAACCAGATTAAGGACAATTACAGAGAATCCTTAAAAACAGTAAGATATTTGTGATATAAAGATTCTTTCACTAGTTCCCTGGGTGCTTTATTTTTCCCTCTTCTTGTGGAGCTGATATTAATATGGTAAAGCTACAGAGTAAAACAGTTAACAAAAAAAATTAAACAAAATAAACATGTAACCACATAAAAGCCCTCCCACCACTGCTGAGCTCTCCTCCCTGATAGTCCCAGTATTTAAACAGATGACAATATTGTTGCAAGGGTTTGTATAGCCTGATTTCTGAGATTTTTCAGAAGAACAAGGTTCATTTGCTCATCCCTTTAACAACACCTGCACGTCTCCCCTGTGCTTTTATAAAAGAATGTAGTAGGATCATTTTTGCTTGCAAACATAGATTATAGTTTTATAAACTAAAGATTCCTAATTTGTAAATTTACTCTGAAAATTTAGTCAGATATAAAGAACAAAGCTGCTACTTAACTGCTCTTCTTTTTGAAATAGCTATGAAGGTAAATAAGAAAATTCAGGATGTTATTGCAAAGGGCTGCAACTTGGGAGCTAAACTGAACTCAGTCATACCTTTTGGAGCTTACAAATCCTCTTTGTTAGCCACCTAAAAAATTTTGACATTGCTTCTGGTAATTTTCTTTTTTGCTTTTCCTTGCTAGCCTCATAAGTTACTTTTTCCTCTCTCTGCATATTGTAAGAGCAGCAGCAAATAGAACTAAATAAAGGGCTTTATTATTTTGTCTAGATCAAAATTGTACAGGTAGAGAAATAATTAAAAAAACAATTGTTAGCATTCTGTTGTCTGCACTTAGGTACGCACTATGCGTTGAATAGATTGTAATTGCAATGGTGTTTTTATACCCAATGCAAAATGCACATTAAAGTTTAAATGAAGGCTAGTACAGTGACTCAGGCATAATTCTTAACTCGTCACATAGTGAAACATCAAGGCATCCCCAATTATAGTTCTCCTAAGGAGGTATGAACTGATCGTAAAAGAAATTGTGGTTTGCCATACTGTTTGTTAACAAACCCTGCGCTTCCTCTCATTACAGGGCTCTATTCTAGCACACTTGCCGTACACAGGCTTCCATGGAGGCTGTGTCACTCTGTCTTTTGAGCTCCCGAGTTCTCCGTTTGAATCCAGCCCACATGGAATGACTAAATCTCTAGTGATAGCGTGCCACTTTGCAAAACTTCCTTATATAACTCCAGATAGAAGCTGTTTCTGAAGCTGCAAGATGCACTGAATCGCCTCGCTACCCACCTCAGAGTGCAGGGGATGCTGTGGGAGAAGGAGTTTGGGGAGGGGTGGGAAGCAGCTGAAAGCATCAGCTGCTACTGTAGGGCACTGATTTCATGACCAAAGGACAGGGTGTCTCCAAATCCAAACAATGCAAATAACACCCCCCTTTATAATAAAAATTAGGTTTCATTATAGAAAGGCTTGGGTGGAAAGCTTCTGAAACCAAGTAAGAGACAGCTCTGAGTTAATGCTAGCACTGAGTTCACAGGGCTCTAGTATTCTAATT